GGTTTCACCTTGTTATCCAGGATGGTCTCGATCTCTTGACCTCGTGATCCACCCGCCTCGGCCTCCCAAAGTGCTGGGATTATAGGCGTGAGCCACCATGCCCGGCCAACTTTTAAAATTTTTTATAAAGACAAGGTGTTGCCCAGACTGGTTTTGAACTCCTGGCCTCAAGTCATCCTCCTGCCATGGCCTCTCAAAGTTCTGGTATTACAGATGTGAGCCACCATGGTCCTACTGGCATGATGTTTTTACAGTACATTTCACTTCATGTCACTCATTATTTTGCTCTTAGGATAAAGACCAAATTTCCTAATCAGGCTTAAAAAAAAGCCTTGCATGTAGGCCGGGCACAGTGACTCACACCTATAATCTCAGCACTTTGAGAGGCTGATACAGGTGGCTTTCTAGGTAAGGAGATCGAGACTATCCTGGCTAACATGGTGAAGCCTGCCTCTACTAAAAATACAAAAAGTTAGCCGGGCATGGTGGCATGTGCCTGTAGTCCCAGCTACTCAGGAGGCTGAGGCAGGAGGATTGCTTGAACCCGGGAGGCGGAGGTTGCAGTGAGCAGAGATCACGCCACTGCACTCCAGCCTGGGCGACAAAGCAAGACATGTTTCAGCCCCTGTTTTTCCTCTTTAGCTTCTTCGTTTTTCTCTCTCCTATTTGCTCCTTATACTCCTGCTACTTTGGCCTTTTCTTAGTTCCTCGTGTGTGCCAGGCTTCTTCCCTCAACAAAGTGTTTGCATATGTCTATGATATTACCTCTCCCTCCTTCACCCAATTTACTATTTATCTGTCCACTCTGAAATTCTTTTATTTTTGACACAGAGTCTCGCTCTGTCATCCAGGCTGGAGCGCAATGGTGCGATCTCGGCTCACTGCAGCCTCCGCCTCCTAGGTTGAAGCAATTCTCCTGCTTCAGCCTCCCGAGTAGCTGGGGTTACAGGTGCCCACCACCATGACCCGATGATTTTGTATTTTTAATAGAGGTGGGGTTTCACTATGTTGGTCAGGCTGGCCTCAAACTCCTTACCTCAGGTGATCCACCTGCCTCTGCCTCTCAAAGTGCTGGGATTATAGGTGTGAGCCACCATGCATGGCCTCTCCATTTTTTCTACAAAGAAATGTGGCTCTTCTCAAAGGATATTAAGGTTTGCAGGACTTCTGTGAGGATTATAACAGTAGCATTTTTCACAACTTGCTTGGAGTTACAAGACAGTAGAGGACAGACATCTTTTTGCCTAAGGCTGACTCCCTTGAACAAATATTTTGATAACTAGGCCAATAATTCTGGTGTAATATTGAAACTGGGACTTGTGAAGATTTATGAGCCACTTAAGATTCTGTGGGCTGGGCGGCCGGGTGTGTTGGCTTACACCTTTAATCCTAGCACTTTGGGAGGCTGAGATGGGTGGATCATGTGAGGTAAGGAGTTGGAGACCAACCAGGCCAACATGGCGAAAACCCGTCCCTACTGAAAATACAAAAATTAGCTCTGCGTGGTGACATGTGCCTGTAATTCCAGCTACTTGGGAGGCTGACGCAGGAGAATCCCTTGAACCTGAAGCAGAGGTTGCAGTGAGCCGATATCACGCCACTGTACTCCAGCCCGGATGACAGATCCAGACTCTGTCTCAAAAAAAAAAAGACTCTGTGGGCTGGCATGGTGGCTCCATGCTTGTAATCCTAACGTTTTGGGAGATGGAGATGGGCTGATTGCTTGAGCCCAGAAGTTTGAGCCCAGCCTGGGCAACATGGTGAAACTCTCTCTCTCTACAAAAAATACAAAAATTAGCCAGACATGGTGGTGCGTGCCTGTAATCCCAGATACACAGGAGGCTCAGGTGGGAGGATTGCTTGACCCTGGGAGGCCAAGGCCACAGTGAGTTGTGATGGTACCACTGCACTCTAGCCTGAAGAAGGCACTGCTAGTCACATATCTTCTGAAATGGACATTTTGGTTGTATTTGGTGGTAATAGCAGTATAGTTCACATACATCACCTTTTCTCTTACTTGAGTTGTTCCACCAGATTTCTTTTTTCTTTTCTTTTTTTTTTTTTTTTGAGACAGAGTTTCCTGCTGTCACCCAAGATGGAGTGCAATCACACGATCTCAGCTCACTGTAACCCCTGCCTCCAGGGCTCAAGCGATTCTTGTGCTGCAGCCTCCCAAGTAGCTGGGATTACAGGCGTGTGCCACCACATATTTTTGTATTTTTAGTAGAGACAGGCTTTCACCATGTTTGCCAGGGTGGTCTCGAACTCCTGGCCTCAAATGATCCACCTGACTTGGCCTCCCAAAATACTGAGATTATAGGTATGAGCTACTGCATGCATCGAGCCCTCCAACCAGATTTCAAAGTATGTTTTATTTCACAAAACAAAATATTGGTAATTCATAGATCATACATATACATATATTAGATAAACTTATTTGAAAAGGCAAGTATGTAAAAATCAAACTGATAGACTGTCAAAGCATCAGGCAGAACAAGTTGTCTGCTTGCATCGCAGAATCTCCCACCTCCTTGTCCCAATATTCTTTTCGCCCCATCTAAGACACTTCTATGTTCTCAGTTGTTGCTTAACAAGATTTTTATTTTTATTTAATTATTATTTATTATTATTTTTTTGAGACAGAGTTTCGCTCTTTTCACCCAGGCTGGAGTGCAGTGGCACGATCTCAGCTCACTACAGCCTCCACCTCCAGTGATTCTCCTGTCTCGGCCTCTCAAGCAGCTGGGATTACAGGTGCCTACCACCACACCCGGCTAATGTTTTGTATTTTTAGTAGAGTTGGGTTTTTGCTATGTTGGCCAGGCTGATCTCAAACTCCTGACCTCAGGTGATCTGCCCGCCATAGCCTCCCAAAGTGCTGGGATTACAGGTGTAAGCCACCGTGCCCTGCCCAAGATTTTAAAACAGTTGTTTTTAAAAGAGCATTATTTCTTCCTGTTGTAAAGATAGAAAACTGTGAGCTTGAAGTCAGTAACAAGGAAAAAAAATTATAAAACTCTGGCTAATATATTTTGGCAGAGGAGAAGATACCAGAAGAGTCCTTCTGTAAGATAAAAGATGTGGGAAATTAGGGTGGTTCTAGTGTGATCTTGGAAAGAAAATTGAAGAACACTGTTAAACTCTGTAACTCCAATTCTAATTTGTTTTTTTTTTTTTTTTTGGTTTCAGGGGAGGTTTTTTGAGGCGGAGTCTCGCTCTGTCACCCAGGCTAGAGTGCAGTGGCATAATCTCGGTCCACCTCCCAGGTTCAAGAGATTCTTCAGCCTCAGCCTCCCTAGTAGCTAGGATTACAGGCATCTGCCACCACATCTGGCTAATTTATATATTTTTATTAGAGATGGGTTTCACCATGTTGGCCAGACTGGTGTCAAATTCCTGTCCTCAAGTGATCTGCTTTGTCCTCCCAAAGTGCTAGGATTAGAGGCAGGAGCCACAATGTCCACGTGCTTCATTCAAAATTAGAATTGGTGTTATGCAATTGTTCTTTCAAGTAAGAGTGATCATTGCTGCATATTTGAAAGAGAGCGTTTTGTATATAAGCTTGACACTTCTGACTGATAACCTGTACAGAGATTGGATTTTCAGATGTGTAGACTGGATTTTCAAAAATAATTTTACCAAATTTCATGTTTTCAAACTTATTCAGATTACATGTACAGCAGCTTGTTTAACTGCTCAAGAAATTGGTGTGCACCTGCTTTCGCAGCTGCTGGGGGAGGTGAAGCAGGAGGATCCGCTGAGGCCAGAAGTTTGATAACTGCCTCACCCCAGCCTGGGCAACAAAGCAGGATCTTGTCGGAGTGGGGAAGGGGGGATGAAAAGAAAAAAGACACCATAGTGACATCATTAGCGCAAAACCTTGAAAGGCAGGAGCTGGTTTATGTTCTTTACCTTTTAATCTGTAGGGTGTCTTTAAGTTTTATTTCAGTTGTGTCACCAAGCGTACTGGGAAAGGACATACTGAATGATATCACCAGAAGGGGTGTGGAGTATGTAGATAAGCGTGGTGACTGCTGGTTATTCATACCTTAGGCTTATATTTTCTAAGATTTTGAATAGCCAGATATTAAAAATTTTGCACTGGGTTATTGTAGTTTGAAAAAATTTTTATTCCAGAAATTAGGGGTTCTACTGGTCGCATCAGAAAAATGACCCTATATTTAGAGTGGTTTGAATCTAAGGGTAAGTTCTCAGGCATCCTTAATAGCTCAGGCTTAACTAACAGTAGTAATATGAAAATCAAGAAAGTTTTTTTGTTTGGGTTAAGTTTGTCAGTTGTACTCTAAGTATGGGGGTGTGGTTGGATAATTTGTGGTAGAGGTAGGATTATGGTAGCTGTCTTCCCTGGCCTGGCTTTGTTGTAGAAGTTTTCAGTGGGTTATGGTGGCTTGTACTTGTGATTTTGGTACCCATGTGAAGTCGGCAGTTTGAAACCTGCTTGAGCCCGTCTCTACTAGAAATACAGCAATTGGGTGGGTATGGTGCGCTCCAGCCTGGGTGACAGAGCAAAAAAAGACATTGCATCTTGTGTCTTCCACCACAATCTCCTGTTTTGGAGTATCCAGAGGTTTATGTTTCTGAACAGTCATTTTCTCCTTCACACATATTTCTGGTCTCACCCCACTTCACTTGTTGGTTGGTGCTATAATTGGGTACTACAGTGATTTGCTATTACAATCAGAAGTCTTCAGTTAAATTTGTCAGGAGGCTCTAAAGGAATGCTAACTCTCACACTTTCCTTGCTTGTAGCCCTTTCATTTTCCAAGCTAGCAATTTAGCATCTTCTGACTTTTCTTCTATCTTTGTTATCTTTTTGTGAACCTCCAGAGTCCTCTTTTTTTTTTGGAGATGGAGTTTTTCTCTTGTAGCCCACGCTGGAGTGCAATGGCGCTGTTGGCTCACTGCAACCTCAGCCTCACGGGTTCAAGGGATTCTCCTGCCTCAGCCTTCTGAGTAGCTGGGATTATAACATGCACTGCCATGCCTGGCTAATTTTTGTATTTTTAGTAGAGATGGGGTTTCACCATGTAGAGTGGTCTCGCACTCCTGACCTCAGGTGATCCACCGGCCACAGCCTCCAAAAGTGCTGAGATTACAGGTGTGAGCCACCGCACCCGGCTCCAGTGTTCTTCATTTTAAGGACCCTGTGATTACATAAGGTTCATCTGGATAAGCTTTTCATCTTAAATCAATCACATCTAAAAACTTCCTTTTATAATGGAAAGTGTTACAGGTTCCAGGAATTAAGATGAGGACATTTTTGGTGGGCCATTATTCTGCCTTATTCTACCACCACCACTACAAAAGCCTCAGATTTGTCATCTTGGCTCACTGCAACCTCCACCTCATGGATTCAAGCAATTCTCTAATTTCAGCCTTCAGAGTAGTTGGGATTACAGGGGCCTGTCACCACACCCAGCGAATTTTTATATTTTTAGTAGAGACAGGGTTTCACCATGTTGGCCAGGATGGTCTCAAACTCCTGACCTCAAGTGATCTGCCCACCTGGATCTTTTAAAGTGCTCGATTACAGGCATGAGCCACTGCACCCAGCCACTGTTTCTTTAGTATGCTTCTTTTCCCACTGTCATTATCTATTTCAGACTTCCATCCCTCACTTTGCATAAACTCTTAACAGATGACTTTACCTCCAACTTTATAGAAAAAATAGAAGCCATCAGACGGGAATGAACTCAGCTGCCTGCCACCAAACCAAAACTACTGACACGGCCACATCTACCTGTGTAGAACAGAACAACATAGTTGTAGGTGAAGCAGTCTGCCCTACACTAGAGATGGACCTCTCTACACCTATTGTTTTCACTTTCCTTCCTGTTATACTGAAGAAGGTGTCCTTCCTATCCTTGGCCAATATCATCTTTCATCCACTCAGTTATCCTTCCCAGGTTATCATTTCTCTTTTCAGTAGCTTCAAACTACCCCTCATTTTTTTTGAGACAGGGTTTCACCATGTTGCCCAGGCTGGACTCAAACTCCTGGGCTCAAGTGATCCTCCCACCTCAGCCTCCCACGTAGCTGAGACTACAGGCTTTCATTATTGAGCCTGGCTTCTTGTCTTCTCATCAGCATTGACATACTTGGATTTTCCTATCTTTAAAAAGTGTTTCCTGAATCTCACCTCCTTTTCCAGCTACTGTCTCATCCCTCTCCTCCCACTGCAGCAAGAGTTCTTGAGAGAGTTGTCTACACCTGCTATCTTTACTGCCTCATCTCCCACTCCTCAGCCCATTAGAATGTGAATTTACAAGGAAATATTGTTCTCGTTCTCCATCTTTTAGCTTTCTCCCTTTGTCTCATAACCATGCCCACCAACGAGAATGCACATACACCTGCTGCCCGTCTTAACAGATTCAAGAACAAGAGAAAAGACAGTACAGTGAGTACCTTCTGTTGCTTTCCTGTGGTGTTATTTACATGGGAAGACATTTGGAAAGGGGTAAAAATGTAGGGATTTTTTTTTTAAGAAAATGGCCTCACTTAGCAACAGAAACTGATGTGATAGGTGAAACACCATGTTATCTTTTCTCAAGGAAATGAGGCGTCGCAGAATAGAAGTCTGTGGAGCTGAGGAAAGCTAAGAAGGATGATCAGGTGCTGAAGAGGAGAAATGTAAGCTCATTTCCTGATGATGCTACTTCTCCGCTGCAGGAAAACCGCAACAACCAGGTAAAAAATATGTTTTAGTGTATGAGTTACATTAAATTCAGAAAATCAGTAGAGACTTTTCTGAGAAATTCAAGTAAACTTAACGTTTCTAGTCTTTTTTTTTTTTTTTTTTAAATAGACAGGGTTCACCATGTTGGTCAGGCTGGTCTTGAACTCCCGACCTCAGGTGATCCGCCCACCTTGGCCTCCAAAGTAGTCCTTGGATTACAGGTGTGAGCCACTATGCCTGGCCAACATTTCTAGTCTTATGACTTTGACTATCTGTGAAAATCTTTTTCTCTGATTGAAATTAGTAATTTTCTTCTTTCCTGCCTTCTATAATCCACTGAAGCTGTTTTTAAGATCTTCCTTTAGCTCTGACCTTCCTTCAGACTTCCCTGCATTTCTAGCTACTAGCTGGGTACCTTGATCTGACCAGTGTGTCCAGAACTAGTTTCTGGATTATATTTCTCTCTCTCTCTCTCTCTCTCTCTCTCTCTCTCTCTCTCTCTCTCTCTCTTTTTTCCCCTGAGACAGCAGTGGCACGATCTCGGTTCACTGCAACCTCCGCCTACTGGGTTCAAGCTATTCTGCCTTAGCTTCCTGAGTAGCTGGGATTACAGGTGAGTGCCACCATGCCTGACTAATTTTTGTATTTTTAGTAGAGACAGAGTTTTACCATGTTGGCCAGGCTGGTCTTGAACTGCTGACCTGCCTCAGCCTCCCAAAGTGCTGGGATTACAGGCATGAGTCACCACACCCAGCCCGTATCTGGTTTATTTCTGCCTTTTTTGGTATTCTCTATTTTTTTGTAAATGTCACCGGCTTTGCTCAGGATTTTCCTCCTGAAATATTTACAGTGGCTTCCTAATTTATCATCTTCTTCTTTTCGTGCCATATACTATTTTCCTGAAATTTTTCCTGAAGTATTGCTTTAGATATGTGTTTTCTCTCCTCAAAATCCATACTCCAAATTGCTTGAACCTGGGAGGGGGAGGTTACCCTGAGCCGAGATTGCACCATTGTACTCCAGCCTGGGCAACAAGAGTGAAACTCTGTCTCAAGAAAAATAAAAATAAAAAAATTAATACATACTCCAGCTGGAGTTCACACCTGTAATTCCGGCACTTTGGGAAGCCAAACTGGGAGGATCACTGGAGGCCAGGAGTTTGAGCCCCGTCTAGGCAACATAGCAAGGCCGTGTTTCTACAAGAAATAAAAAGTTAGCTGGGTATGGTGATGCAGGCCCTTAGTCCTAAGTATTCCCGGGGCTGAGGCAGAAGGATCACTGGAGCCCAGGATTTTGAGGCTGCAGTGAGCTATGATTGTACCATTGCACTTCATCCTGGGTGACAGAGTGAGACCCTGTCTCTAAAAATAAAAATCCATACTCCAGGAAGGCCTTCCATAAAGTAGGTGCCTTAGATTTTCAGATTTATCTTTCATAACTGAGCACTTGCCTACATCTTTTTCTCACAATATGCTGCTGCTTTTTTTTTTTTTTTCCCTCGTGGCATAGTCTTGTTCAGTTGCCCAGGCTGGAGTGCAGTGGCATGATCTCGGCTCTCTGCAACCTCCACCTCCTGGGTTCAAGCAATACTCGTGCTTCAACCTCCTGAGTAGCTGGGATTACAGGTGTATGCCACCATGCCCGACTAATTTTGTTTTTGAGACGACTTTGCTCCCATTGCCCAGGCTGGAGTGTAATGGCGCGATCTCGGCTCACTGAAACCTCCGCCTCCCAGGTTCAGGTGATTCTTTTACCTCAGCCTCCCAAGTAGCTGGGATTATAGGTGTGCCACCATGCCCTGCTAAATTTGTATTTTTAGTAGAGATGGGGTTTCTTCACCTTGGTCAGGCTGGTCTCGAACTCCCAACCTCAGGTGAGCCGCTTGCCTCAGCCTCCCAAAGTGCTGGGATTACAGGCATGAGACACCATCACCATGCCCGGCCTATTTTTTTTTTTTTTTTTAGTAGAGATGAGGTTTCACCATGTTGGCCAGGCTGGTCTTGAACTCCTGACCTCGTGATCTACCCATCTTGGCCTCCCAAAGTGCTGGGATTACAGGTGTGAGCCACTGCGCCCAGCCACGTTATGCTTGCTTTAGCACTCCACATTTATCTTTCTTTTTTTTCATTGAATACTGTCTATGTTCTATTTCTAGGGTATTAATACTCAAAACTCAGCTTCTCCTTGTAGCACTCATTAGTCTAGCAGGAAAGACACCCCTTTCACAGGATTCTCTAGCGCCCTGGTTCTGTACCCAAAATGGGGGGTAATACTGTGTACCGCCTCTACTTACCACTGGTTTTATGCTGTTTGTCTACTGGTCACATTTTTTCTGTTAGATTGCAAGCTCCTAGAAAGACAGGAATACTGACTTTTTGAATTTCTGGAAGCATTGATTCTCAAACCTTATTTCTACTGTGATTCCTAACATAAAACTTTTTTTTTTTTTTGAGACAGAGCTTCGCTGTTGTTGCCCAGGAGTACAATGGCTCGATTTTGGCTTGCACCAACCTCCGCCTCCTGGGTTCAAGCGAATTTCCTGCCTCAGCCTCCCATGTAGCTGGGATTACAGGCATGCGCCACCCCACCCAGCTAATTTTGTATTTTTAGTAGAGGCAGTTTCTCTATGTTGGTCAGGCTGGTCTCAAACTCCTGACCTCAGGTGATCCACCTGCCTTGGCCTCCCAAAGTGCTGGGATTACAGGCATGAGCCACTGCACCTGGCCAACATTTTTTTTTTTTTTTGAGATGGAGTTTCACTCTTGTTACCCAGGCTGGAGTGCAATGGCGCGATCTCGGCTCACGGCAACCTCCACCTCCTGGGTTCAGGCAATTCTCCTGCCTCAGCCTCCTGAGTAGCTGGGATTACAGGTGTGCCACCACCATACCCAGCTAATTTTTTGTATTTTTTAGTAGAGACAAGGTTTCCACCATGTTGGCCAGGATGGTCTCGATCTCTGACCTCGTGATCCACCCGCCTCAGCCTCCCAAAGTGCTGGGATTACAGGCTTGAGCCACCGCGCCCGGCCCCCAACATTTTTTTTTAAGGGGAAATGGATCTTGCTCTGTTGTCCAGGCTGGAGTACGTTGTGGCGAAATCTCAGCTCACTGCAGCTTCTGTCTCCCAGGTTCAAGCAATTCTCCTGCCTCAGCCTCCTGAGTAGCTGGGATAATAGGGGCCCACTACCATGTCTTGCTAATTTCTTTTAAAGACAGGGTTTCACCATATTGGTCAGGCTCCTCTTGAACTCCTGACCTCATGATCTACCCACCTCAGCCTTCCAAAGTGCTGGGATTACGGGTGTGAGCCACTGTGCCCAACAGTCTTGCTAATTTTTGCTTTTTTTTTTTTGGGAAACTGTGTCTCACTCTGCTGCCCAGGCTGGAGTCCAGTGGTGCGATCTTGGCTCACTGCAGCCTCCACCTCCCAGGTTCAAGCAGTTCTCCCGCCTCAGCCTTCCGAGTGCTGGGACTAGAGGCACCTGCCACCACGCCCAGCTAATTTTTGTATTTTCAGTAGAGATGGGGTTTTACCGTACCGGCCCATCTGCCCACCTCAGCCTTCCAAAGTGCTGGGATTACAGGCGTGAGCCACTGTACCCTTCCAAACAGAAAACATTTATATTTGCAACAACACTCAACTGTGGAAATACATAGGTTATAAAATTAGATATGTAAATCCTCAGCGCATTGCTTGTAACCATGTCTTTCTCCCTCAAAGTATATCTGAACGCAAGTGATTGAGACTAATGTAGGAATAATCTTCAGTCTGCTCTGATTATTATTATTATTTTTTTGAGAAAAGGTCTTGGGTGGTGACAGGTACACACCACTATACTTGGATATCTATATATATCAATTTTTTGTAGGTGGGAAGGTCTCACTATGTTGCTCAGTCTGGTCTTGAACTCCTGAGTTCAAGCTATCCTCCCTCCTAAGCCTCCCAAAGTGCTAGGATTACAGGTGTGAGCCACCGTGCCTGGCCTTCTAGTTCATTTTTTAAATTGTTCAAAGCTGCCTTTTTTTAGTGACAAAACTCTTGGATACTCCATAACTCGAGACTCCAGTGAGTCATACACCAAGTTTGGAAACTGTTCTACATATAAAATAATGAATATTTAACAGGTAAAATTAAATGTAGGGCTAAGTTTTTAGTGGCTGGCTATAAGCCTAATTGATGTTTATACTTGCCTTCTTGCCTTCACAGTGGTAAGTGTAGATTTTATTGTTTGCATTTATTTTTAATGTGCAAAATTTTGTTATTCTTTTAGGGTACTGTAAATTGGTCTGTTGATGAAATCGTCAAAGGCATAAATAGCAACAACGTGGAAAATCAGCTCCAAGCTACTCAAACTGCCAGGTATGTCTTATCTGCCAATAGCACAGGTTACCTAATAAATTAGTGTTTTTAGATTTTTTTTTTTTTTTTGGCAGGAAGGGACAGACAAGATAGTGTAAGGAAAGATTACACCAGCTAGCCATAAACCAAACAGTGTTTTTTGTTTATTAATTTTTATGAGTGGGAGGCCTTGCTATTTTGCCCAGGCTGGTCTTGAATGCCTGGGTTCATGCAGTCCTCTCACCTCAGCCTTCTGAAGTGCTGGGACTACAGGTGTGTGCCCTTGCACCTGGCCATAAAGTTTTTATCAAAGTAATGTTTCAAGTTACTGGCAGTGAAAGGAAGAAATGAATAGTAACTGGGATTGAGACATCTGTTTAGAATGATAGATCCATTTAGGAAATAAGCATAATTTGACTTTTATCTCCCACCATACACAAATATTTATGATTAATAGAAAGGATTAATAATTTCTGTAGCTTGACAGTGTGCAGAAGAACAAATTTCAATGGTAAATAATCATTAAAAAGTTCTAGGGTGTGTGCAGTGGCTCATGCCTATAATCCCAGCACTTTAAGAGGCCAAGGGGTAGGTTACTTGAGCCCACGAGTTTGAGACCAGCCTGTGCAACAGGATGAGACTGTCTCTCAAAAAATAAAAAAAAATTACCCTTGTGTGGTGGTGCACACTTTTAGTCCCAGCTACTAAGGAGGCTGAGGTGGGAGGATTACTTGATCTCACTCAGGAAGTCGAGCCTGCAGTGAGCCGTAATCGTGGCATTGCACTCAAACCTGGGTGGAGTAAGATCCTGTGCTTAAAAAAAAGGTGCTTCACCACAACGGTTAGGGAGATGCAGATTAAGTTAACAATGAGAGTATAACCCCGTCATATTGTCAAAAGTTTTTTTAAAAAAGAGACAAGATCGGGCTGGATGTGGTGGCTCATGCCTGTAATCCCAGCACTTTGTGAGACTGAGGCAGGTGGATAACAAGGTCAGAAGTTTGAGATCAACCTGGCCAATATGGTGAAAATCCAGTCTCTATTAAAAATACAAAAATTAGCTGGGTGTGATGGTGGGTCTCTGTAGTCCCAGCTACTCAGGAGGCTAAGGCACAAGAATCACTTGAACCCAGGAGGCAGAGGTTGCAGTGAGCCAAGATCAAACCACTGCACTCCAGCCTGGGCGACAGAGCAAGACTGTCCCCGGCCAAAAAAAGGGACAAGATTTGTAGTAGATTTCTGCAGTGATGCAGAGGAGGGTAATCTGTATTATTTTAGGGAAAAATGGTAGTTAATTATACCACATGTATAGCACCATGCAAGTAAGCTGTTCAGCTTCTCTTAGGTTCCAGAATGTCTCAGCATTTAGTGATTTACATAAAAGGTTGTCTGAAGTTGTAAAGTCTTGAATTGCATTGTATTTATTTATTTATTCTTTTGAATTGCATTTTAAATTGGTTTTTACACAAACTCCTTTTGTTAATCACTTTCAACTTTTATTTCTCTTTTTGTTTCCCTTTAGGAAACTACTTTCTAGAGAAAAACAGCCCCCCATAGACAACATAATCCAGGCTGGTTTGATTCCAAAATTTGTGTCCTTCTTGGGCAGAACTGATTGTAGTCCCATTCAGTTTGAATCTGCTTGGGCACTCACTAACATTGCTTCTGGGACATCAGAACAAACCAAGGCTGTGGTAGATGGAGGTGCCATCCCAGCCTTCATTTCTCTGTTGGCATCTCCCCATGCTCACATCAGTGAACAAGCTGTATGGGCTCTAGGAAACATTGCAGGTACTTGGACTTGAAGTTCTTTTGACTGAATGTAAGTGTAATGAGTTGGAAGAAAGGCCTTGTTATAGGTAATAGTGACTTTGTCAAGTTTTGAGCTTGCTTTCAAGCCGTTATTAAGAATGAAGGTGGTGCATTCAGTCATTGAACGTTGATAGTGCTGGACAAGGTAATAGAAATCAATCGTGCCTTCTTTTTTCAGGTGATGGCTCAGTGTTCCGAGACTTGGTTATTAAGTACGGTGCAATTGACCCACTCTTGGCTCTTCTTGCAGTTCCTGATATGTCATCTTTGGCAGTAGGTTACTACCATAAGTAGTTACTCTCTTTATTCTAATTTCCCCCATCTTCTCAAAAGACAGAATCTCTCATTGCTGATTTCTTTTTCCCCAGTGTGGTTACTTACGTAATCTTACCTGGACACTTTCAAATCTTTGCCGCAACAAGAATCCTGCACCCCCGTTAGATGCTGTTGAGCAGATTCTTCCTACCTTAGTTCGGCTCCTGCATCATGATGATCCAGAAGTATTAGCAGATACCTGCTGGGCTATTTCCTACCTTACTGATGGTCCAAATGAACGAATTGACATGGTCGTGAAAACAGGAGTTGTGCTCCAACTTGTGAAGCTTCTAGGAGCTTCTGAATTGCCAATTGTGGTAAGTTCCTTTCTTTTAGATTAGGACAAAATTATAAGAAGCATGATCAGGGCTGGGTGCAGTGGCTCATGCCTGTATAATCCCAGCACTTTGGGAAACCAAGGTGGGTGGATCACCTGAGGTCAGGAGTTAGAAAGCATGGTGAAACCCTGTCTCTACTAAAAAAAAAAAAATTAGCCGTACATGGAGGCATGTGCCTGTAATCCCAGCTACTTGGGAAGCTGAGGCAGGAGAATTGCTTGAACCTGGAGGTGGAGGTTGCAGTGAGCCAAGATCACACCATTGCACTCCAGCCTAGGTGAGTCCGTCTCAAAAAAATTTTAAAAAGCATAATCAGTTGATACAAATACTGAAATATTGCCTATTTCAGGCCATGATGGGCCTCTTACCAAAACTGTTAGGGTATAGAATTTCTGAAGTGCTGGGAAAAAAATACGGTAACCAGCATCAACATTTTTTTCTTTTCAGACTCCTGCACTACGAGCCATAGGGAATATTGTGACTGGTACAGATGAACAGACTCAGGTTGTGACCGATGCAGGAGCGCTTGCCATCTTTCCCAGCCTGCTCACCAACCCCAAAACTAACATTCAGAAGGAAGCTACATGGACAATGTCAAACATCACGGCTGGCCGTCAGGACCAGATACAGCAAGTTGTGAATCACGGATTAGTCCCATTCCTTGTCAGTGTTCTTTCTAAGGTAACGAAGTCTTAGGGTTTAATCATGGCATATTTTTAGTGTTTATTATAGAGAGCTCTGCTTGATAAAGTTTTTAATATGCAAGAATCCTGGGTTCTACTTGGAGTCCTCTGCAGAAAAATACCCAGTAACCCCTTTCACTTAAAGTTTCACTTGGTACTTTTCAGTCATTGTTTTTGTGAAAAGTACTCTTGGAATCTTATTTGTGCAACTGTTCTGAAATAAAACCATTTTCTTATGTTTAATAGGCCGATTTTAAGACACAAAAGGAAGCTGTATGGGCTGTGACCAACTATACCAGTGGTGGAACAGTTGAACAGATTGTGTACCTTGTTCATTGTGGCGTAATAGAACCATTGATGAACCTCTTAACTGCAAAAGATACCAAGATTATTCTGGTTATCCTGGATGCCATTTCAAATATCTTTCAGGTAAGTCCTATCATGGTGGCTTTGTTTGAATTTGGGCTTGTAATCAGTTTACTATTTAGACCTGGAAGGAGGGCAGCTGTAAGTTTACTCACTAGTAAACCACAGAATCAGAAAGCCTGTTTATGTGGGCCACACCTTTGATTAGAAATATGGCAGGTATTGTAAAAGGTATAAAAGAGATGACAAGTGGATGGATGATGTGACCTGAATCAAAGTCAGGCCCTTATGTGAACTCATCACACCTATTTACTTGGTTGATTTAATTTCCCAATTTCATACTGAATTTTGGCGAAATTAAATTTTTTTTTTGAAATTAAATTTTTTTTAACTTTTTTTTTTTTTAAATAAAGACGGGTTTCACTGTGTTAGCCAGGATGGTCTTGATCTCCTGAATTCATGATCTACCCTCCTCAGCCTCCCAAAGTGGTGGGATTACAGGGGCGTGAGCCATCGCACCCGACCTTGTGAAATTAAGTTCGGCAGGGTTTGGTGGGTCACACCTGTAATCCTAGCACTTTGGGAGTCCAAAGTGGGTGGATCACCTGAGGTCAGGAGTTCGAGACCAGCTTGGCCAACATGGCAAAACCGTATCTCTACTAAAAGTATAAAAATTAACTGAGCGTAGTGGCTGGTGCCTATAGTTCCCACTGTTGAGGCTGAGGCAGGAGAATCACCTGAACCCGGGAGGGCGAGGTTGCAGTGAGCCGAGATTGCGCTACTTTACTCCAGCCTGAGTGAAAGAGTGACACTCTCTCAAAAAAAAAAATTTTTTTGAATGACTTAATTATATTTTTCTTCTGGTTCCATCTCTAATTGATTCAAGCATATCAGCATATGATACTTTGTCATAGTAGGTAGGTGGTAGGTAAGCCCTACTCATCAACTTTGGATTCTAGAGATTTTTTACATATAGAAGTCGAGCCTACAGTAATGGATGCTGGCATATCTGTCACTGCGTATAAATAATTTGTCAATATGTGGCCAGTATTTCTTCTTCTCTTTGTCTAGTCCCCTAAATTATTTTGAAGGAAATTTGTTATTATATTTATAGATATTTATGTATCTTTTTTTTTTTTTGAGACAATCTTGCTGTGTTGCCAGGTGCCAGGCTGGAGTGCAGTGGCGCAATCTCTGCTCACATCAATCTCCGCCTCCTGGGTTGAAGCAATTCTCCTGCGCAGCCTCCCAAGTAGCTGGGACTATAGGCACGCGCCATCATGCCCAGCTAATTTTTGTATTTTTTAGTAGAGGCGGGGTTTCATCATGTTGGCCGTCTTGATCTCTTGACCTCGTGATCCGCCCACCTCGGCCTCCCAGAGTGCTAGGATTACAGGCGTGAGCCACCGCTCCTGGTTTATGTATCTCTTAAAAGTTGAGAAGTTAAAAACTAATCTGCATACCATTCCTTATGCCCCGCAAATCCTTAGTACCAACACACATTCTGGTTGGGGACATTTTAGTGTAGCACTCCATAGGCCATCTTTGCCCTTAAACACCTTGACTAACTAAACCTTGTGATGACACATTATTTTGATATTTCCCACATTATTTTGACAAAGATGGAAAAAGTTGAGAGCTATTGATGGTAAGATCTCTGGTTGAAGGCTCCAGTTGAAGCAGTGCTAAGAGTAGGTATAGATCCAATCATATTGAGTTTCAACAAAATATAAAATGGACATAAAACTATGATATGCTTCTTGAAGGAACTGTTAGGTGCTTAATTCTGCCTGATACATCAGTGTTCAATTTTTGATGTCATTTTCTTAAAGTAAAACATTCAGAGTATATGCTAGTAAACTTGAAATTTTTTTTTTAGGCTGCTGAGAAACTAGGTGAAAATGAGAATCTTAGTATAATGATTGAAGGATGTGGAGGCTTAGACAAAATTGAAGCTCTACAAAACCATGAAAATGAGTCTGTGTATAAGCCTTCATTAAACTTAATTGAGAAGTATTTCTCTGTAGAGGTGAGTAATGGATGGTAATGTTACTAACAACTTGCAAACATGTAAAGTCAAGGCCTTGAGCCTTTTTTTCCCTCACACTTTTTTTTTTTTGAGACGGAGTTTTGCTGTTGTAACCCAGACAGGAGTGCAATGGCATGATCTTGGCTCACCGCAACCTCCGCCTTCTAGGTTCAAGCAATTCTGCCTCAGCCTCCCTAGTAGCTGGGACTATAGGCGGGCACCACCATGCACAGCTAATTTTTGAATTTTTAGTAGAGACGGGGTTTCACCTTGTTGACAGAGATGGTCTGGATCTCTTGACCTCATGATCCACCCGCCTCGGCCTCCCAAAGTGCTGGGATTATAGGCATGAGCTACTGCGCCCGGCCTTTCCCTCATACTTTTAAAAATGAGCGTTGAGGTTACACTGAACTGAGATCATGCCACTTCACTCCAGCCTGAACAACAGAACAAGACTCCGTCTCAAACAAACAAAAACAAAGCCTCATATCTTTGTTAAATATAGCAAAATATCAGCATGTGTAGGACACAATGTACTTATTTGCTCCTTTGGTGGTAATAAACTTTGGCTTGGTGGTAATAAAATCTTTTTATTCATTTATTTAATTTTATAAAGACAGGGTTTCACCATGTTGGTCAGGCTGGTCTTGAACTCCTGACCTCAGGTGATCCGCCCACCTTGGCCTCCAAAGTGCTTGGATTACAGGTGTGAGCCACCACACCTGGCCAATAAAATCTTTTTAAACTGAGATTTTAAAAGTAACAGGATTAGTTTCAAATGAACAGTCTTGAGAATCGTAGAATATTTTGAGAATAAGTTTATGGATGTCATTGTACGAGTTGATAGAGAAGTAGGCCAAACCCACCACCATGCTCTGGGCCTAACAGGCACTCGTTTCCAACTGAAAATTGACAGTTGGAGAAGAAAAATAATCTCAGCCTTTTTCTGTTACTGTAGTAACAGATAAGCATTCCTTATCCCCGGCCCCCACAACTCCCCAGGCACTCATGAATTGGCAGAGTTTCAGAGACCCTCCCTCCCCCGTGTCAAATATTAGAATATCATACAGGATTAAAGGTATAATATGCAGATCAAGATCTAAATATTAAATATAGACTTCTAGGTAGGCTGCTGCTTGGAATATTTATATTACTTTTATATTTATTTTTTAATATATTTCCAGGAAGAGGAAGATCAAAATGTTGTACCAGAAACTACCTCTGAAGGCTATACCTTCCAAGTTCAGGATGGGACTCCTGGGACCTTTAACTTTTAGATCATGTAGCTGAGGTATAAATTTGTTGTGTACTATGTTTGGTATTTTGTCTTCCTGTTTCTCTACGAAGAACTCTTTCTAAATGTGGTTTATTATTGTAGCACTTTTTACACTGAAACTATACTTGAACAGTTCCAACTGTACATACTGTATGAAGCTTGTCCTCTGGCTACATTTCTTATTTCTATGTGGAATTTCATATCTTGCAGCCTCCTGTAAATAAACATTAAAACCCACCCTTTACTTCACCATGCCTATGTATTGCTTTCTAATTTGGGACCTTTAATGTTGCAAGTGAAGGATAACCTATCCAAACCGATGCAATTAACCAGAGGCAGTCCAGGTTGCAGCTCTTTGGAAGAATGAATAAAATTTTCCAGAAACCCTCAGCCAGTGTCTCTTTAAGTCTCCTTGGCCAGGGAGATGGGCTTAAAAATGTTAAATTGAATCATAAATTTGTTCTGAAGCTATAAGTGGAATTAATTCCTCCCAAACTTGAAGGCTGAATGGGGTTCCAAGGTAAAATAGTAGTCACACATTGGCATCACCTGGGAAAGTAGCCAGTTCTGTTTAGTTGGTGAGGGTCCACATTATTGTGTTTTTTTGTTTGCTTGTTTGTTTCTGTTTTTAATATGGAGTCTCGCTCTGTTGCCCAAGCTGGAGTGCAGTGTAACAGTCTTGGTTCACTGCAACCTTTGCCTCTCAGGCTAAAGTGATTCTCCTGCCTCAGCCTCCCGAATAGCTGCGATTACAGGCATGCCTGGCTAATTTTTGCATATTTAGTAGACAGAGATGGGGTTTCACCATGTTGACCAGACTGGTCTCGAACTCCTGACCTCAGGTGATTTGCTCGCCTCGGCCTCCCAAAATGCTGGGATTACAGGAGTGAGCCACCATGCTTGGCCATGACATCTTTTCAAGTCAGTAGTAATATTACTGCAACAAGTCTCCATTTACCTTCTTGGCTGCAAATGAGGATTTTCTTCCCTTAGTTCATCAACATGCATAGAAATACATTTTTGTCTTTTGCAGGTAATAGTTGAGTTTTAAAATCCTTCCATGGAACAATGTTTAATCCTTACCCTGTTTAGGTATAGAGCACTAGATAGTGCTTATATGAAGTACCCTCTAGAGCCAAGTTACTAAAATGGGACACTAGGCCTGGCGCAGTGGCTCACGCCTGTGATCACAGCATTTTGGGAGGCCGAGGCAGGCAGATCACTCAGGTCAGGAGTTCAAGACCAGCCTGGTAATATGGTGAAACCCTATCTCTACTAAAAAAAAAAAAAAAATTAGCCGGGTGTGGTGGCATGTGCTTATAATCCCAGCTACTTGGGTGGCTGAGGCAGGAGAATTGCTTGAACCTGGTATGCGGAGGTTGCAGTGAGCTGAGATTGCGCCATTGCACTCCAGCCTGGGTGACAGAGCAAGATTCCGTCTCAAAAGAAAAAAAATAATGGAATAGTAAACCTCTGTGTTAACACGTGACCCTTGTAATAGACTATTTTGTTTGGAACTGTGGATCAGTTTCTCAGCTTTTCCTCTGCTATCCTAAAGGGGAGGGGGAAGAGACATCAACAGTACAGACTGCCTTTCCTTTCCTACTTACTTGATCCTCTCTTCCTCTCCCCAACTCGAGTTCCTTCTTGGATACTGAATCCAAAACTCTTCAGCTTGAGAAAAGGTGATGGGGAAGTAAACCTGGACATCCTACATTTTTGCTTTAAGGTGGGAGAGTTTTAATGGCTTCAGAGGGACGAGTGTAAAAGGATAGAAAGTGTAAGGTCTGGATTTGTTAAAGGCATGACTCAATAGTGAGGTAATGAACAGGAGATAGCTGGTTTCCAAAAAAGTTTCTTTTTTATTGTATTTTAGATAAAATGCTTAACATGCTAGTTTCCTTGGAGTTGTTAGGTCCATAGAGACATTGGGAGATTTTTAATTTATTGTGTGGGTAACTTAATATCTTTGAAAATGACAGAATGACTTTATTTATGTTTTTTTTTTTTTTTTTTTGAGAGAGTTTTGCTCTTGTTTTGTTGCCCAGGCTGGAGTGCAATGGCACAATCTCCAGTCACTGCAACCTCTGCCTCCCGGGTTCAAGCGATTTTTCTGCCCTAGCTTCCCAAATAGTTGGGATTACAGCCACCATTCCCGGCTGATTTTGTATTAGTAGAGATGGAGTTTCTCCATGTTGGTCAGGCTGGTCTCGAACTCCTGACTTCAGGTGATCTGCCTGCCTCAGTGTCCCAAAGTACTGGGAATACAGACGTGAGCAACCGTGCCTGGCCTGACAGAATGACTATAACCAGCTTGATTTGTAAAAGTCATGATAAAAACACTATGTAGCCACCAGCTTCTCCCTCTTGCAGTGTTACTGTCTAAATTGCTAGTGATTTATTTATTTTTTTCAAATTTCTTTTGTTTTTCTCCTAGTGATTTATTAATGCACCAACATTTTTAGTTTCCTAGTAGTTTGAAATCTTTTTCTTTTTTTGAGACCGAGTCTCCCTCTTGTTGCCCAGGCTGGAGTTCAATGGTGCAATCTTGGCTCACTGCAGCCTCTGCCTCCCAGGCTCAAGTGATTCTCCTGCCTCAGCCTCCCAAGTAGCTGGGGCTACTGGCTCTTGCCACCACACTTGGCTAATTTTGTATTTTTAGCAGAGTTGGTGTTTCATTCTTGTTGCCCATGCTGGAGTACAGTGGTGTAATCTCAGCTCACTGCAGTCTCCGTCTCCCAGGTTCAAGCGATTCTCCTGCCTTAGCCTCCTGATAGCTGTGATTACAAGTGCCCGCCACCATGCCTGGCCAATTTTTATGTTTTTATTAGAGACAGGGTTTTGCCATGTTGGCCAGGCTGGTCTTGAACTCCTGACCTCATGTGATCCACCTGCCTTGGCTTCCCAAAGTGCTGGGATTACTGGTGTGAGCCACGACGTTCGGCAGCTGAAGTAACATTAAAAGATTGAACATCAGTGTTAAACATTTTACAAAATATTGATTCTTTCATTGCTATATTGCATTTTGGCTAAAAATCATCATGATTTTTAGAACAAAGGTAATCAACATTCTGTATCCTATGGTTTTTTTTTTTTTCCTCTCATCGTCTATCTTTCTGTAGCTGTATCATCAATGAAGAAAAAACTCCAGGATACTGTTTTGTTCCTGTAAATCTTCATTGTTAATTAAGATTTTTATGGCCAGGCGTTGTGGCTCATGCCTGTAATCCAAGCACTTTGGAGGCCAAGGTGGGCAAATCACGAGGTTGGGAGTTCAAGACCAGGAAACCCCATCTTAAACAAAAATTTTTTTAAATTTCAGCATTTGGCTCTTTAATTGCATGACAGCATTAAGAGCAAAATCCATTTTGTTCTTATGGGCAGCTGGAAGCCTTGTCAGATACAGGACCCAAGTTCAGAAGGCCATTAAGGGAAGTGTAGCTGGCTGCTCCTTAGCCCTCTCCACCCTTGTTGGAGCTTGCCAAAACCCGGTGGACTGAGTTTGGAAAGCCCTTGAAACATGTCATTTCATTAATGGTGCTTTCTTTTGGGATTGGGCTGTTCACCTAATTTGTGATGAACAAAAACCAGCCAAATCATGCAGCCTTCCCCCAACTCCCCATGGGAAAGTGTTAGAAAAGAGTTTTAGCAACGTCACCCATTTAACTTTCATAACCCCAGCTAATAAAGATGATAAGAAACACTCAAGCTATCAAGTAGGGTTTCTTGAGGGCAGAAGTGCAATTTGATTTTGAGCACTTGTATATTAAATGATGTGTTGTTGGCTTAGTTTGAAAGCTAATTCTAGTGTCTCTAAATGCCCAGTTCCTCCTAAATATGTAAAACTGTTTTGTAACACTGTGTAGGAGGTGTATGCATCAAACCCTCTTAAATTGATCAGCTCATGCATTCCAGGCTTTTCACGATTGTAAATGTCTTTTCCCATCCTAGTTGCGTTAGGTGTCATGGTACAGTGAAATAGACTAGTATTTAAGAGCCAGATCTGTCTGGATTCAAATCCTGCCTCTTTATTATGTCAGTTAATGACCTTTGGGTGGGTCAGCTAAGTGCCTGGCATAAAAATATAGATATTTCGTTATAAAAGTTTTGTTTTTAATCCATTTGATTTGGGTAGAAAAGTTAAAAAAGTATGGATGCTAATTCCTACATAATAGAAATACCCAGGTAAATATTACAGCTATTCTAAACCTTTTGTTAGGAAGAGGTGTAATAACTGAAGAAACAAAAGTCTGCTGGGCGCGGTGGCTCATGCCTGTAATCCCAGCACTTTGGGAGGCCGAGGTGGACGGATCACAAGGTCAAGAGATCGAGACCATCCTGGCCAACATGATGAAACCCCGTCTCTACTAAAAACACAAAAATTAGCAGGGCCTGGTGGTGTGTGCCTGTAGTTCCAGCTACTTGGGAGGCTGGGGCAGGAGAATCGCTTGAATCTGGAAGGCGGACGTTGCAGTGAGCCAAGATCATGCCACTGTACCCTCCAGCCTGGCAACAGAACAGGACTCCATCTCAAAAAAAAAAAAAAAAAAGTCTCCCTATGTTGCCCAGGCTGGTCTCAGATTCTTGGCCTCAAGCTATCCTCCTGCCTCAGCTTCCCAAAGTGCTGGACTTACAGGCATGAGCCACTGCACCCGGCTGTCTCCAACCTTTTAACACCAAAGATTTCTGTTTGTTCTTACATAGACACTTGTTTTCATATATTTTACCTTCTGGGCTAAGTTTATTACTACTCTTCTCTTTTTTTTCCCCTTATCAATCAGATACAAATCAACATGAGATCACCATACTGGATTGTTTATACAGTTAATGATAGGATTCTACCCAAAAGTCATGTTTTGTCAGCCTTTAGGTCTTTTAGGGGGCTTGGCATAGCTCTCTGAACAGTGGAACTAGCTCAAGGAGGGCACACTGGGACTAAGTGCCTACTGGCTGTTAGCCTTTGCAGTATCCCAGGGAGAGATCCAGCTCTGTTCCTGTGCCCACTGGTTCTCTTTCTCTTAATTCTATTGGACAGAACAGTTGGAGCACCTCCTCATCTAACTTCTCATTGGCCATGAGAAGAGGACTGAACCACCCAAGTCAGACTTGGTGATGGAAGCTTGTCAGTATTAATACCTGATAGGCCCCTAATAACTAGTGTTAATGAAGTTTCTCGAATGAGCAAACACTTGACTGTTCAGAAAACAACCACAAAGCTATATTTTCTACTATGAAGACACTCATGTTTAG